TCACGTGAGGCTGATGTGGCTAGGTCTGTAACATTACCTCCCCCTCCTTCAGGCTTTCGTCCTTGAAAGTCATAAAGCTGCGGCACCCCACAGGTAAGCACTGAGTTGTTCATATTCTCTTTCTTCCTTCTTTATTGTCATGGTTCATTATGCCTCGTTCCTCCAATGCCTGTGATCGAGTTAGAGAACGTGTTTGTCAAGCTGACAGTATCAAAGAGAAGGGCCACATTGTTGAGAACTCTTGTGAACATTGCTTTCTGAAAGGAATCCCCTGCATTATGGATTCAAAGAACCAAAACTGTGCTTCCTGCACTCGTCGTGGTCGAAGATGTGAAAAGCGATTTCATGGTGATAGGGAGTGGAATGAGTTGAAGTGAAGTGAGAAGAAGCTTCAAGATCAGCTTTCTGAGGCTTTGGCAGAACAAGCGCGTATTTCTGCAAAGGTTGCTTGGTTGTTTAAACAACAACAATTCTTAAAGGATCGTGGTGAAAAGATGTTGGATCATGATTCAAATGTATTGGAAAGATTGGACGAAGAGAATCCTCTAAGCGCCGAGGAACTTCAAGAGCTTGAGCATCTTGCTGATGAACAAGAGGCTGCTCAGCTTGCCGCTGTGTCAAACAATCCTAGTTTGACTCAGATGATGAATTCCCCTTCCTTCTGGGAGAATTTCGATTCTGCTGTTGCTGGTGGTATTCCTTCACCAACTGGTGGCAACCCGTCAGGTTCGCAATAGGTTCCCATGTGTTTTCTGAGGTATTGTATCCTTCCCATTTAACCAGGTAAAGTGGTTGTCTGTTAACTTGCTTGTAATCCAGAATTTGTTCAACTTCATATTCATCTTCGTTGCTTTCGATTTCGATGTTTTCTGTTGGTATGGCGTTTTTCGGTGCTGGTTCCAATAGCGAGATATGGAATACTGGATGTATGCGCTTCATTGATTTTGGTAGTTTCAAGCGATAATTTACTGGTCCTGTTTTTGCTTCAATGGTGAAAGGTCTGATTTTCTGGTGATCAAGCTTTTGACTTGGTTGTTTTGTCTTGATATTTCTGCGGAGCAGGAATACTTTCTCCCCCCTTTTTAAGGTAGGCCCCTCTCCATGGTGTTTGTCATAATATATGGCTGCTCGTAAACTCATGAAATCGATGTCTTTTGATAGTTGACTGTGTAAGCTTTTTAGCTTTTGAACTGTCTCATTTGCTGCTTCTGATGTGGATTCATGTGGACGCGGTTCCTTGTGCAAAGCTGGATGATATCCATAATTGGTGTAAAATGGCGTGACTTTGAGCATTGAGTGTTTGGCATTGTTGTATGCAAACTGTGCCATGGGTAGAAATTTAACCCAATCATCTTGTTCATAGTTGATGTAGTGCCGTAGGTACTGTTCGATTGTTTGGTTGGTTCGCTCTGTTTGGCCATTTGTCTGTGGGTGATAGGCTGTAGTAAGACAATGCTCTATTCCCATCAAGTTTGTGAGTGTCGTCCAAAATTTTGATGTAAACAGCTTGTCTCGGTCTGATGTGATCTTCTGAGGCATTCCATGGTTGGTAATGACATGCTTCAGGAATATTTGTGCCATTTCTGCTGCGTTCATGTTTCCTTTGGTTGGAACCAAATGAATATATTTGGTCAGTCTGTCTGTGACAACTGTGATGGAGTCATATCCTCGAGAATTCGGCAACTGGGTGATGAAATCAATGGTAACCCATTCCCATGGATGTGTTGGAGCATCCAGGGATTGCATTTTTCCATAGGGTTGATGTCTTGCTGCCTTGTCTTGTATGCAAACTTCGCAGTTTTTCACATACTCTTGTACTATCTTCCTGAGGCTTGGGAAGTAGTAGTTCCTTGCAATTTGTTCAGCTGTTTTTTCTGTTCCTGTGTGTCTGTGTAGTGGTGTATCATGATGTATTCTGATAATCTCATTTCTCATGCTCTTCGGCACATAGATGAGATTGTGCAAATATGCCAATCCATTATCATCAGTGGTTAATTTGTCGTTTTCTGCTGAGTTTTTAATCATATCCTGGATCATTTTGTCTTTTCGTGTTTCTTCCGCGATTTTCTTTTCTAGAAGTCCATTCGAGGCGTGCATTGTTGCTGCTAACACCTGGTGGTTGTAGCTGATAGTTCCATCTTCATTGGTTCTCAATATTGCTGGATTGATCGTTTTATCCTTGATCTCATAATCAGGTCGTCGACTGAGTGCATCTGCTTGTCCATTCTCATTTCCTTTGCAGTGGACAATCTTGAAGTCGTATTGTGATAGTATTTCAGCCCATCTGGCCTGTCTTCAGGTCAACTCTTTAGTTGTCGTGAAGAAGGTCAGGTTCTTGTGATCTGTTTTCACAAGTACAGTATGTCATGCTCCTTCCAGGTAGACTCTCCAAGTCTTGAATGCTACCACTATAGCTAGCAATTCTTTATCATGGATGTCATAGTTCAATTCGGCTTGAACCAGCTTTCGTGAGTGGAATGCAACGGCTTGTGGTCTTCCATCTGCTCCTGGTTGAGTCATCCTCATGCCAATGGCGTAATCTGATGTATCTGTTTCAATTGTGGTTTCCTTTTCTGGGTCGAACTGCACAAGTACTGGTGCAGATACAATTCTTTCCTTGGCTTGCTGAAATGCTTGTTGTTGCTCTGGTCCCCATTGGAACTCCTGTCCTTTTTTCAGCATCTTAAATAGTGGCGTCATGAATTGTGAATAATCCCTTAGGAATCATCGATAATAGTTCACTAGTCCTGCAAATTGTTGGACTTCTTTGATACTCTTTAGTACCAGCCAATCCAAAATAGCTTGGACTTTGTTCTTTTCCATCTGAATTCCTTCTGTTGTGATCCAATGTCCCAAGAACTCGGTTTCTTGAACATGGAATTCGCATTTTTTCAGTTTCAATCGTAATTCGGCGTTTTCGAGTTTCTGCAGTGTTTTCTGAACATGCTGTATGTGTTCTTTGAAAGTGTTTGAGAAGATCAAGATGTCATCGAGATAGGCTATGACAAAGATATCGAGATACTCTCCGCATACCTCGTTGATGAATCGTTGGAAAGACGCTGGTGCATTGGTGAGCCCAAATGGCATAACCAAGTATTCATAGTGCCCATATTTTGTTCTAAAGGCCGTCTTCCATTCTTCTCCTTCAGCAATTCGTAGTCGGTTGTAGGCATCTGTAACATCAAGTTTTGTGAACCATTTTGCTCCTCTGATGCGGTCTTGCATCTCGTCAATCCTTGGTAATGGATGTCGATCTTTGACAGTAATGGTGTTAAGTGGTCGATAATCCACACATAGCCGTAGGCTTCCATCCTTCTTTGGAACAAATAAGACTCCGTGTCCTGCTGGTGATTTTGATGGTCTGATGGTGCCTTTCTTCAGTTGTTCATCAATGTATTCTCGTAGTGCTTTTGATTCTTTTTCTGACATTGAGTATATCTTCTTGCATGTCAGTTCCTTCCCTTCCATAAGGGGCATTCGATGATCATGTGGTCCATGTGTCGGTAGTTCAGGTTGCTCTGGCTGGTTGAACAAGTGCTGAAACTTCTTGTACTCCTCTGGTACAGTTGGTTCTTGAGTCGTTGCTGCTAGCTCCTTAGGGTTGATCCATTCCCATGAGCCTAGCTCTGAGTCTGATGCTTCTTCGTAGCTATCAACTCTTCCTGAGCGATATTCCTCAATCGGCGCTGATATCTTGGATATATCCTCATCCATCAAGTATTCGCAATACTTATGGGTCGTGTCTGGTGCCCATCCCAGTAATTCTGCTAGCCAATGTCGTTCTGAGGCCCTGGTGGCTGCTAAAACAATGTTTCTTGCTGTGTCGTCTGTTTTGTGGTTATTCATTCTCAACCCACCTCTTGGTTGCTTCACGTATCTACCAGATCTCCTGTCTGTAGATCATGGTGAGGTCCCAGCCTCCTGGTGGCTTGGTTCTTTGGTTCTTCTTGGGCATGCGCAGTTCGTAAAATTCATTTGTCCAGTTTTCCAGTTGATTTCCGGGTTGTGATTCCTGAGCCATGGAATCCCCAACACTATATCATATTGTCCCAGTGGTGTCACATTGAAATTGATCCTCTCTTCATGATCCGCCACAGCCATAGGGATAAATCCTGATTCGACTGTCAGGTGACCTCCCAGGTCTTCACCATTCAGTCCTGAGATAGGCTCTGGCTGTGCCTTCTCAATCCCTAAGATTCCCAATTGTCGCTGGAATCTAGGATCCATGTAATTTCCAGTAGCTCCTGAGTCAACCATCACTTTGGCTAGTTGACTGAGGATCGGTGTCATAAACTTCAGATGATATCCTCGCTGTGTTGCTGATAGGCTTGCTTGCCATCTTGGTTGTTGTAGATGTCGTGGACTTGGGTAGTAATCCTTGATTTCAAAATGAATTATGCAGTTGTCTTCATAGCACGCAGTCCAGTGCATACTTGAATGCTCTGGATGCAGTAGATATCCTCTGCATGCACAGTTCCAATCCCAACAAGGGCAACTGTTGTTCTTCCTTTGAGGTCGTTGTGGAAAGTAGTGTGCCATTTTCTTTTGATCATAATGGTCTCCACAGGCGTTGCTGTAACATGTGATCCAAGGTAGTTGGTGGTGTTTTGGGTGTCCTCTGTAGTGCACACAATCACACCAATCATATTCACATGACTTGTGGATGGGGCCTCGTGGTCTCTTGGTTGTAACTTCTTGTAAGTATCCCCATGTTTCACCATTATCTTGTCCACAATGTAGGCATGTATATGGATGTTGGTCGCATTTCTGTAAATGTTGATCCCAAGTTTCGTCTGTCTGTTCCCAGCATCCCAAGTTCTGATGTGGGCAATAGGTGCTCAATTCATCAAACAGTTCCTTCAATCCTTTGGAAAGCCTCTTGGGGTTCTCCTGGAGTGAGATAACAATGTCATCAATGAAATAGGCGGCAATATCTGTATTGGTTTCATCATCAATTTCTCGTTGTTCGGTATATCATTTGGACCATAATTGTTGCTTTGAAATAGGGCTATACACACTGGACTTTGTGTATCCCTTGCTGTTTTCCGCCAGAATTTGTTCTTCGTTTTCATCGTCTTCAGGAGTTGCGCTTTGAGGTGTCTCTGGTATCTCATGGAGTCCCTCCACACTGGGATTGTGGCCATTCCACTGAGTACCATACTCTTTGTCAAGGAAATCGTTAACTGGCTGATCTTGGTCAGGCAGTTTGCCGAGTGATTTCTCATGAACTGGCTCGTTGATGGCTTTGTCGGACCCATCTGTCCTTACATGGGCTTTATTGCTTCTGCTGTCAGACCCCATCGTCTGTTCCTTGGGCCAATATTCTTCTTCACTGGAGCTCATAATTTCGTCAATCTCGTCTTCTGTGAGAGTTGTCTGTTCTTTCATCAACCTCCTCATTGGGCTTAGGTTGGGTATCATCATGGTTCTGGATTTCCATGGTCCCTCATGCTCATCTGAAGCTTCTTGCATGTGCCATCCAGAGTCGTCTGTTGCTTTGAGCTCAGGTTTCACAATTCCTGTGACATCATATGCTCCTCTCTCTTGGGTAGCATGAAGTTGCTTATTATCCTTTTGCTGAGGCCTAGCGCTTCGTCGCTGCCTACATTCTTTCATCATGTGACCCAGTCTTCCACATGTGAAGCAAAGTTTCTCTTGTCGTCTTTGATCCTGTTCTCTGTTGGATGCGAAGGGTTTCTGTTGTGTAGCATCCAGCTCCATTGGTCATGGTCCATAGGGATCTTCATACCCTTGGCTTCGTGGTTGAGCTGGCTGTTTATCATTTGATTGATAGTGATTCGTTCGTGGGTTTCCTTGAAAGGTATTTCTGTATCATGACTCCTTCTGTCTGACTCTAAGGTCATACAGGGTGTTGTCAACCTTAACCGCTCGAGAAAACAGTTCATTCAGTGAACTTGGTTGTTCCATCCAGATCAATTTCTCCTGGATCTCGGGTTTCATCATTTCCTCAAACTTGGCAATGTACGCTTCTTCGTCCCAATCCAAGTGAGCGATGATTTGCTGAAATTCTGATACCAACTTGGCTACAGACCCTGTCTGCTTGAGTCGCCATAGTTTTCGTTCAGCTTGTCGTGAGGCATCAATATCTCCAAAAGTTCCTTGAAGTCTCTTCTTGAATTCATTGTAGCTGGCAAAGGTTTCCACAGTGTTGTCATTCTGGGCGTCTTCACTGTTTTCCTGGAAATCTCGTAGTATGGGTTCAAACCAATCGAAAGCAGGTCCGGTCAAGTAAGTTGCTGCAAATAGGACTTTGTCGGATTCAAGAGCAATCTTGCTGCGGTTCATGCGGATGTACAAGTCCAATTGAGTGATAAAAGGTCGCAACTTAGATCGAGTGCCGTCGAAGGCTTCAGGTGGTCAAACCTTGATCGATTTGGCAGATTGTCGTTCCTCCAAGGTGGTGATGCTTTCCTGTAGCTGACTAATCATCCCAAAAAGCTCATCATATGTCGGCATTCGTTCCTCAGATCCACGGGAGGATCTAGGAGTAGCATTATTATTATTCGACATGGCGGTTTTTTGTTTTAAGTCAATAGTGTCTCGAAACCTGACTCGTACTGACTGGCAATCAATGTGTCACAACCTGGCTTCCCTCGTATTGTACCTAGGGTTCTAGTTAGTTGTATTTCAAGACAGGACACTTACCCTAAGTGCCTTCCAAGCAGTCATATGCTCAACGACCATCCAGGTCCTCTGTATATCACGTCGAAGGTATATCGCCCCCTCCAGGCTCCGTAAGGTAGTCAACAGGTAGAATCGGTAAAGGTAATGAATAGAGAAACAAGGCCAACCGAGCACGTATGCTGGGTTGTTGGTTAAGTGCAGACGAGTCAGAAACTAGAAGGTAACCAATGCTTGATTAACTAGATTGATTGCGAAGAACTAAACTAAGTACATGAATGAGTGTCCTTATATATCCTCCGCTTTCCTACCATTCTGTATACCATCTAGGGTAGATAGATGGTAGCGCATACCATTCCGTATACCATTTATGGTAGATAAATGGTAGGGGTCACGTGACTGATCCTTTGGGATATCAGCTGGAATCCCTGTTCCTTCCTGCATTCCCATCATTTCTTGTAACCCAATGATTCTGCCTTGACTCCCTGCATAGTCACGTGAGGCTGATGTGGCTAGGTCTGTAACATTGTCTTTCTGGAGTTAGTGTGGAAAGAAAGTTCAATATTACTATGGATGTCTGTCATTATAGAAGGGGGCATTTAAAAGGCAAGACTATTGAGGGAATCATGCTATTCAAGATAGCAAATCAGCAATACTTCATTGATTTAGCAAATCAAGAGACTGGCGAGGAGCTGTCTTCTGATATAGATCATCAGGAATGGTTGGTTGATGATGAGATAGCTAAAGAGCTACTGTCTGATTTTCTGAATTAACATGTGATATATTGTCCTTTTTGTGAAAAAAAGTTTTGTATTTAGTGTTTTAAAAGTTAGGGTTTCATTCTATGCACATCACATTGTTCTACACTAGGAGATGAGTTCAGGAGATAGCAGCCAGCCCTCAGCACACAGTGCATGTGCTAGATATATATATATATATAACTATCTGTATGATATACATTATGTCAATATATACCAAGATAACAGCTGCAAGACCCTCTTACTACTCTGTCCTAGCTATAATGTATATATATATGGATGTATGTGAATAAGCAGGCATAAATGAATAGAAGAAGCAACTGCAGCAAGAGGGAATCAGAGTAGTCAACTAGTAGTCTAATAAGTGTATAGGAATATGCATGTAGGTTTAGATTATGGGTGATATTACTAATCCAACATCACTTGGCTGAGTGGTAGTCTGACCATATTTTAATTGGAAGGTCCTGGGTTCGAACCTGGGTCATGTTATTTAGAATTTACACAATTATCTATGTATTGATGGCCCCTATAGGGGAGCAGGGTTGTCATACTTTTAACAAGTATAATTCTCCGTCTATCTATTGGCCTGGTTGATACTTCATTCTGGATGTAGTAATATGTCCATTTGGTATTGAACTAGGCAATAGAGGACTTTCATGTACTCATTGGGTCATTATTTTTTTTTTTTTCTTCCACTTACAAACCCCCAGGTCTATCTATGAGCTTTTATTAGAGAGAGGACCAGCTGGGTAGAAAATCCTGAATAGATAAGGTCATATTGTATAAGCCCTAATTTCACAATCAAATGATTAGTATAGTTTTTTTCTTTTCTAAAATTAGATTATATTAGGATTTGAGATTTTGATATGAGATTG